GGGAGGGGGGGGGGTTGCTGTAATAAACATCACGAGGCTGCATGACCTTGGCAGTTAGGAAGAAAAAGGACAATTTGAACGGATCTTCTCCAAACAAATTACAGTGCACAACGACGATTTTCATATCATAACCATTTCTGGGGCACTTCTTCTGGCTTTTCTTGTCTTCGCGCGATAAGGAAAATTGTGGCCTGTACCGGCTTCAAAATACTCTTTCAAGCGTCTCCCTCCTGCCCTTCGCCCTGCCTGTTTATTAGCCTATTTTCCTTGTTTTGAAGAACAAAAGGAGATTTATAATATCACTTACTCTAATTGCATCCCGTTTCATCATCACCCTATCGCCATTTTCATATATTTGTCTTCTTTTCCTTCGTGTTGAAACCATGTTCTGACTTAAATCCAACTCTTACGACGTTTGTCAATATCTCTTCCTCCTTATGAATTGTACAGTGGCAGAAAACTGATTCTGTAATTTTCTCCTAGCATTTTGTTTAAAACTGCATAATGAAGGATTTCATAACATATACTCTTCGCCAAGTAGAATTAGAGTGATCAAGTAAATGAGGATGAGGTGGGGTAGAAGAGGAATGCATATTGGCTATTGATGGGAAAGCCGGAAGGAAAGAGACCACTATAGAGATCTAGACTTAGGTGGGAGGATAATATTAAAATGGAACTTCGAGAGATTGGATGGGGTGGTATGGACTGGTTTAATCAGGCTCAGAATAGGACCAATGTAGAGCTCTTGTGAACACGGTAATAAACCTTCGGTTTCTGTAAAATGTTGGAAGATTCTTGAGTAGCTATGCGACTGGAGGCTTCTTAAGAAGAGCTCAGCTACATGGAGTTAGTTAGTTAGTTACCATCTTGTTTAAATATTCACTCTACCTTCATTCATGTTTGCATTTACTTTGTTTCTTATGGGTTTCATAGACTCTGCTTATTTAACGACTCTTTCTCAACTGCATTTACGTTTATGTTGCTTTTTATGTTTTTTTTTTATCATATGTGTACTTGACGACTCTCCCAAACTACATATAGGGCTGTAACGTTGAATATTCGGCTGCTTGTGTACAATGAATCTTAAAGGATTAGGAAGATGTCGCACTAAAGTAAAGCCGTAAAGTTGTGTCTGACCATGAAGACATATAGCTCTACCAATCTTGACATCGGCACTAGATGGAGGTGAGTTGTAAGCTTCACGCTCCAGTCATTTTAACCCCTGGGGAAAACCCACCTTAGGAAAAAAACGTCGAGTGGGCCCAGGAGCCGGTTTGGACGCTGCGCAGTAGACAAAAATCTCTAGCCATGAATCGAACCCCGCCCATTCAACCCGTAGTCCGTCGCTATACCGAGTAAGTTATCCCGGTTCCCAGGTTTAAGCTTCTGCAACTGCATTTGTTGGTGGGAGTGAAGAACACGGGGAAACATTCCGGGGACAATCCTGCACGCATGGGCCGCTGGGTAAACTGTCAAATCTATTTTGCAGAATTGTTTTTAGTTCGGGTATGCTGAATACTTGTACAGTTTTAAGAACTTGCGTATTTATAGACCTTGAAACAAGGAACGGTTGCAGAGAGCACTCGGCTCCAGTTTGCGTCATGATACTCAAGGTCATGTGGTAAATCATCTTAGCGTTGCGTGTGCCGGATGCGCTGCAGCCACAGCTCTGCTTCCAGCTGCACCCTGACCTAGCGAGCGTTTCCAGTGAATCACGGATGGCGGCTACCGTGAGGAATCGTCCCTACCCGACATTGCAGTACAGTATCTATCGCGGGATGCTGACGCTCAGTTTCCGAGTCCCAAGAATTTGGCGTTAATGCCTCACCACGGGAAGGGCATTTCATTTACATTCCCAGCACCGGGCAGATTGATTTATTTGTGTGGACGCAATATCGACGTACAGGAGGTAAGGTAAAGCCGTCCTTGTGATTAGGTAAGCACTGTGCCATGTACACACATGGGAGAAGTGGAGGTATAGATCCACCTTTCTTCACCTCGACACTAGACGAATGTGAGTGGTCAGCTTCACGCCCCTGCCTGCTTTTAATAGGATGCTGGGTGGGCCCCGCAGCTGGTCTGGAAGCTGTAGAGAAGAGAAAAATTTTGCACTGTCGGGAATCGAACCGGGGCCGTCCAGCGCGTAGCCCGTCGTTCTACTGACTGAGCTATCCCCATAGTGTTTGAATCTGAATTTGGATACCGAATATTGTGATTCAGGCACATCGTGTTCTGCCTCGATCCATTTCGGCGAATCCCGCAAACGGACTGTACCGACTGAGCTACCGCCGCTTGCCGGCGAAGTTAGTGACAACTTTAGCGGATAGAGTGTGTCGCGTGGACAACGCAACGGATTTTCACGGCCGTTAATTTCGGTTTTCTAGACCGGAGCCGCTATTTCCTTTAAATAGCTCTTCAGTTATCCTCACCCCATTCGAGACCCACTGCTTCTCAGAAAATCTGGTATCACCGGGAATAATCGAACCCGGGACCTCTGGATCTGTAACCAGAAACTCTGACCACTAGACCAGAGAGGCGGTCCAGAAAATAGTATACGGCCACCTTTTTCAAATCCCTTACCTACGCGCCATTCGCCGTAAATACACTTATATCACAGACACTGTACAGTTAGAACAAGGTTATTAAATAACATAAGACTCAATCAGTCATTCTGATAGCATCAAACCCCGCCACACCTCCGTCACGTTTTGTCTCGCCTCGTCTCGTCATGATTCAGATATGGACCGCACGGGTTGCGTGTCAGTTAAGGCGAACAAGGTGAAATTGAATATGAATGACATAACGTGAGAAACATTCATCATAATTGAAAAAATAGCCCTTTTTTGAGCCATAGCTTTCCTTAGAGGATCCTGCCAGATTGCATCCGACTGTCGCTTTTCTGATTTCTCAAAAATATATATCTTTTACAGAACAAGGTTGTCAGCCTTGCGCCAAACCTGGAGGCCTAGGTCTCTGTACGAGTATTTTATGTCCTCCCCCCGTGACAGAGTGGCCCAGATATACCCCCAGGCACTGGGTTACCTTTTCGTCGCCTTCTATGGCTCTCAGGGCTGTGGGAGCATTCTAAGCCGCCTTTGTTTTCTTGGCACTACAATCTCAGTGGGCCTAGGCCTACCTCCATGAACTTCTCCGTTCACTTCGGTTTTTCTAGATCTTACACATTCGGTAGGACTGCTTGGGCGGGTGATCAGCTCGTCGCAAGGCCTCTACCTGTACACAAACACAGAAAAACGCATACACACAAACTAAACATCCATGCCCTGACTGGGATTCGAACCCACGATCCCGGTTTCCAAGCGAGCGAAGACAGCACATGCCTTAGACCGCTCGGCTACCGTGACCGGCCTAAGCCGCCTTTACGCCTACAAATGTTACAGATAAGTGGCCCGAACACTATCTAATTATCGGAAACGAATCAGAAACCAGAATTTGAAGAAAATTCGCCATCTCGAATGTTTATATTCCGTCCACATGATCTTTTCCTTAGAGTAGAAAGGCCGAATATGAGATGCTCACTTTTGAGAACCAACTGATTTGAAATAAACAGATACTGGTAGCTTAGAACATATATATCGTTAAGTCTAACACACCCAGTTTTCAGTAAACGCGATTTAAAGTTGCACCCGCGTGATGTTCTGGGAAAGCATGCAATATTTCTGAATTAGTCCCTATCGCCATTGCAGTTCCTGGACTTCGTTATCTGAAAAGAAGAAAAGCAGCCTATTTAACAATCAAGAGCTCACAGAAACTCAGACTTAGCCAAAAGTGAACATCAGTGCTCTAAACCATCAACACATTTTGATATTATAATAAGAAATTCTGGGAAGAACTAACACAGCATAGCAGTAAATTGATGCTGGTCCTAGCCAGCACAATTGTTCTTTCCTTCGATACGAAACGGACCGCACAGAAAACGACGCGTCCAAGAATTCTTCTATTGCACACGGAAACGCGTTTACCATGCCCTTGCCTAGCAATGAAAGGGGAGGGGATACACATGAAGACACAAAGCAAGGAAATAAAAGGAAGAAGAAAAAGAAATGGAAGTAACAGGAAAGAAATGGCCGCGACCTAGCTCAAGCGGTTAGTCGCTGGCTTCCCACCGCGGCGGCCCGGGTTCGATCCCGGGTCTGGTCAAGTGGGATTTGTGTTGGACAAAGTGGCGCTGGGGCAGGCTTTCTCCGAGTACTTCGGTTTCCCCTGCTAATCTTCATTCCACTAATTGCTCCACAATC